ACACACACACACACACACACGCTCTGTTTGCCAAGAGTGACAGTGGTGACACCCCAAAAGCAACAATTATACCTAGTGCCCAGATCTTGGCTTCTAAACAGAATTTTCCACCAAAAGGAACCAGAGCTCCTCAGAGAAATAGCTAATTCCGTGGTTTGAGCAGGACCTCTCCTGCAGGATGAGTCAGCCTGGAGAGAAAAAACAAGTACTCACAAGTGATGGCGATATGTTAAAAAGACACAAAAACCAGATTAAAGGGGCTCTCAGTGGCCAAATTTGAGGAAAGTTGAGCATCAAAAGAAATAGAATTCTAGGTCTGAATAAGATGGAATAAGGACATTTCCCTCCTTCTCTCTCACTGAACATAACTATAAAACATGGACTGACTGTGTATAGCTATGTGATGTCTCTGAAAAGAAAACAGCAGAGGGCAGAGTGGAGAAGAATACCAGAATTCAAAGTAACAGCAAACTGATGGTGAGTTCACCATTCTTTCCCTCTGGTACTCCCTGGCCTAAGTTAATGCAGCCAGAAACAAAGCAGTGAGCATCCTGGTGCAGATTGAGAAACCATCTCTAGTTCCAGCTTGAGCTGCTCAGAGACAGTGCAAAACTCCTGTTTTCAGTTTTAATTTTCTCTTTAACTTTTTGTTCAATTATTTAACTCTCTTCTGACCTAGACCCCAGGCAATTAATTCCATGGTAGCAAAAGCAATGGCAGCCAGGGGAAAATACAAGAGTTAAAACTTTGAGGGAGGGAAACCTTTCTCTCCACTTGGGGTGCTGCAGTTCCAAGAGAAACTTGGGAAAAACCCCGCTGCTTTTTTTTCTGTTTCTATCTTCCCACTGCTTGGCCCCAGATGCAGTACAACTGCATATATGGACAGTTACCAGGTGGAGCACTGAAAAGAGTAGCTCAAGAGAATCAGAAACTTCTAAGAAGTTAATGGAGAGAAAGGAGTTCAGAAAAAAAAATCGTCAAGTTGTTGATAAAGACCTGGGCTCATCTCACAACCAGAGCAAGCATGGATCTGATCTTAATTACCATAGCAAAGATTCTGAAAACCGAACTAGAGAAAGACATCCACCAGGTGCCAGACTGACAAATGAGTGTTGTGTATGCAGGAAAAATCTGAATAGCACTGCAAAGCCTTTGAAAACTGAACTGACACTGGAACCGCAGTCTCTAGGAGACAATTTGAAAACTGTGCTGTGACTCTTTTAGGTTGATTACCTGCAAAAATAAAAATATCAACATTTTCACAAAATATATGTTAAGACCAAGAAGCTTAAAACATAATATTCAAAATGTCTAGGATACAATAAAAAATTACTGAATCTACGAAGACCCGTGAAAACTTCAACTTACATGAAAAAAAAAAAAAGACAATCAACAGACGTTGGCAATGAGATGACAAAGAAATTGGAAATATCTGATAACGACATTAAATCAGTTCTTATAAAATAGAACGTGCAATTATGAACACTCTCAAAACAAACAGAAAAATAGAAAGCCTCAGCAAAGAAACAGAACAGGGATCACTCAGCAAACTACAACCTGTAGGCCAATAGACTGTGAGCTAAAAATTGTTTTTACATTTTTGAAGGATTATTGAAAAAAATTATGCAACACAGCATGCATGTGATCCACAAAGGCTAAAATATTAACTCTCTTGTAATTTACAGAAAGTTTCCTAATCCCCGAAATAGAAAATATAAAGAACCAAATGGAAATGTTCAAACTCAAATATACAGTAAGAGAACAAAAACCCTCACTGGATGGACTCAGTAGCAGAATGCAAACGAAAAAGGAAAGAGACAGTAAACTTGAAAATAGACATCAACTCAGCAATTTGAAAAAGAGAGGAAAAAAATATTGGGGCGGGGGGAAACAGCATCAAGTATCTGCAGAATTATAACAACCACCACAACAACAAAACAACAAAAAACTCAATTCAGCATCATTAGTGTCCCAGAAAAGAGACAAGGTGTGGTACTAAAAAACATATTTAAGAAATAATGGCTTAATATTTCCCACATTTAGAGAAACATATGCACCTATGAATTCAAGAAGTGTAGGATAGAAGTGATATCAGCAAGACAGCAAAATAGGTCTCAGCCCTTGCCCCACATAGAAACACAGATTTAACAACCATTCATGGATGAAAATATATTTGTAAGAGTCCTCAAATCCAAGTAAGAGGTTCTGGTACTCTAGTGGAGCACAGAAATGAGAAAAGATGAATTTAAAAAACAGTAAGAGAAACAGTCTCACTTTACCTGCATCGCCCTCCCTTCCAACTTGGCACAGCACAGTGCCAAGAGAGATCCCCTTGACCCATGAGTTTTCCAGTGGGGGAAAGAAAGAGCCTGGCCCATCAACCCCAGCAGCAGACCTGCCCACCCACAGACCCCAGCAGCAGGCCCATCCACTCACAGAACCTACCAGACAGGCCGACTACGGTTCCCACCAAGCAGCCCATTCAGAATCTCTGACCAAGCTTACTGATGAAGGGCTTTCCCTGCTCAAGTTTGTCTGTAAAGACTGAAAAAAGTGACTGCTTCTTCAAATGTACACTGATACAAGGCTACAAGGATCACAGAGAATCAGGAAAATATGACATCACCAAAGGAAAAAGTAAAGCTCCAGTAAGCAACCCAAAATAAATGGAGATCTACAAACTGCCTGACAAAAAATTCAAAATAATTGTCTCAAAGAAACTTAGTGAGCTAGAGACCACATATAGATAACTAAATGAAATCTGGAAAAAAATATATTAAAAAATGAGTTAAATAGACAGAAACCATAAAAAAAGAAAGACACACATTCCAGAGCTAAAGTATACAATGACTGAGCTGAAAAATTCAATAGAGAGCTTCAACAGCAGACTCCATAAAATTATGGGAGTCCAGAAGAAGAAAAAGGGAAAATGGCAAAAAGCTTATTTAAAGAAATAATGTCTCAGCCCTTGCCCCACATAGAAACGTATGCACCTATGGATTCGAGAAGTTTAGGATAGAATAAAAAATAAAAAATTTCCCATATTTGCAGATAGAAGTGAATATGCAGATTCATGAAGCCCATGGGACCCCAATTAGGTTAAATCTAGAAAGGTCTAAGCCAAAACAGCCAAGCACGTGAGAGTATAAACATAGTGGTAAAGGTAAATACATGGACAAATGTAGAATAATATACAGTAATGGTAGGTAAACCACTTTAAATCCTAGTATAAAGGTTAAAAGATAAAAGCATTAAGAATAACTATAACCACAAACATTTGTTAACGAATATCCAATATAAAAAGAAATTGACAAAATGGAACAGATATAGAACATTCTATCCAACAGCAGCAGTACAGTCTTCTCAAGCACTACAAAGCATCCTCCAGGATAGATCACATATGGGAGGCCACAAAACAAGTTTCAGCATACTCAAGATAACAGAAATTATATCAAGTACCTTTTCTAACCACATAAAACTAGATATCGATAATAGGAGGAAAGTTTGAAAATTCATAAATACATGGAAATTAAACAACACACCTAAAAAACAATGAATCAAAGAAGAAATCAAAAGGAAAATTTAAAAAAATATCTTGAGACAAATGAAAATGCAAACAACATACCACCACAACTTACGGGATGCAGCAAAAGTAGTTCTAAGAGGGAAGTTTTATAGTGATGTGCACATACATCAAAGAAAAAGGTGTATCTCTAATAAACAACCTAACTTCACATGTCAAGGAACTAGGAAATGAAAAACAAAGTCCAGTGTTAGCAGAAGAAAGGAAATGATAAAGATTGCAGCAGAAATAAGTGAAATAGAGAATAGGAAAACAATAGAAAAGACCAACAAAATGAATTATTAGTTTTTGAAACTGTAAACACAATTGACAAAACTTTAATGACACTAACAAAATGGTAAGAAAAAGAAAGACCCAAACAAATACAATAATAAATGAAAGAGGAGACATTACAAATGATACTCAGAAAGACAAAGGCTCGTAAGAGATCGTGAATTTATATACCAACAAATTGGATAACCTAGAAGAAATGAATGAATTCCCAGAAACATGCAACATACCAAGACTAAATCATAGAGTCAAGGTAAGAGTGTGGAAGTGTTCTAGGCTGAAAGAAATTAGAGACCAGGTACAGTCTTACATGGAACCCATTCTGTATAAAGGACAGTACTGGGAAACTTGAAGGCAGTCTCTGGGCAAAGGGTATACAGTTCTTTGAACTATTCTTATAACATTTTCATAAATATGAAATCATTTAAAAATTTTTAAAGCCGAAAAGAGTACCTAGAACATAGCTGGCAACATACGAATATTTACTGAATTCAGTTCTACATTATAACATAGAATCTGGGGAAAAACTAAAACCTATTTCACAAATAGGTACAATTTATGGAGTCGTGGGAACATTCTCCCCAACATCCAAATATATCTTTGTTATCAACTCCCTCCGTGATAGTAAACACTGAAGTAGCCATAAGCACTGAAATAGGGAAGAAAGAATGGAAAATGGAGATAAACTGGAAAAATATAAAAACTTATAGACTCTGGAATTTTGAGGGGATCTAGTCTGGGAAGCAGGCTTTATTTATCCTATCCAATCTCTCACACCTCCAAATCCCTATATAGAAAAATACTACGGCAGTGATATGATCAACTGCTGTCAACCTTGTCGACAGAGAAATAAACTCGTATTTTCTTTCTTTCATCACATAGCATAAAATATGAAGGAAATATTATCAAAATGGTTTGACAATAAAAGAGAAAGCAAAGAAATTTTAAGAAAAAAAACCCATGTTGCTTTTTTAAACACCCTTTCTAGTACAGAACAAAGGAAGTAAAATATTTCAAAGATCAGCTAAGTGGAACTGATAGCAAATATAATCTCTAAAGAGCTACACAAAGTGGCAATAATTCTTCCTAAGACTTGATATAACATATTTTCAAACTCTTGAAGAATAAATGGAGAAAATTCACTCACCATTTTAGGGAGCCTTATCAACATATCTTTGCAGCGCAGGATGCATGAAGATGCTCTTGGAAAATCATCTTGAGCAACTGCCTGGGAAAGTGAAAAATAATGCCAATAACTGGTGAAAATGAAATAACAAGCCATTTGTCTACGAGTCAATTTTAACGTATTTTAACTGGTGTTTAAAAGCCTTAATTTGTCTTCCAATTCTTTTAGCAACACTAGTTGGTCTAGCTGAACATAACAGTCAGCTCAAAATACTGAGAAATAATGGCAAGAATCTTGGGTAACATGGAGCTGACAATGAATGACTGGGAGTCATGCATCTTTCTGGAAATGCTGAAACCAGTGTACGATCTTATTATATCATGGTATAACGCTGTGTCTAATAGATGCTTCCCCAGCTTGAATAGTTTTTGCATTTGTCTGCATATTAGAAAATAGCAGTTTGTCATCCTAAAACAGGCCTGCAATAACCTCGCACTGTGAACTGCTGTGGTCGTCTGCTATGAAAGGCAGTTTAGTGCAATCTCATCCTGGAGCCAGAAGAGCTACTCTGATTTTTATTATGTATAACCTTGAACCTTATGCTCTCATGGCTTCGGGTTCCTCATCTATAAAATGAGGGTGCTGTACCAGCTTATGTCTAAGATTCCTTTCAGTTCTGTCATCGTATGACCGAACACCCTCAACTGAACAAAAAGATCAATCTCACATTACTTAGGAACTTGTCGAAGAGGCTTGTTTTAGCCATTTAAGAATTTAGCTGACAAGGCACAATTTTAAAAAAAACCACGGACATATACAAGAAAATAATTTAATAAAGTACATTGTAGAGAAAAAAATCCTTACATTTGCTATTTTTTCCCTCTATTCTTGTGCTTTACATGAGAAAATAACTGAGTAGACAAAAGATAAAAAACATAAAAAGCCAACTTCTCTCTAGTTTTCTCCTCTAGCTTTCTGCTAACTACTAAGCTTGACATCGTACTGAGTAGATAGTGTCCTCTAAGGCTTTAATACTAGATTATGTTAAAGGAGAAAATAAATCGTAAACACGAGAACCTCAATAAGCCAAATCTCAATTATCTACAGAGATTATAAAATAATATTCCCATCTATACAAATAAATGTTTAATACTTGCTGACTGACTCATTATTCAAGGTAGAGAAAATCTTATAAAAAAGAAGTGCTCAGTGATAAATGCCATGATGACGCTTTCTGTTCTAATGTAAAACAATATAAGCCTTTAATGGTCAAAAAATCCATCAAGTATCTATCATGAATCGGATTTTACCTTTTAAGACATCAAAGCTCTAATAATTCAAACTAGTTTTGAAATTTTATTCATCACGTAGGGCCAGAAATCCCAAAAGATAGAGAATTCAGGCAAAGAAATCTTAAGAAAAGGCAGCACAATGTGTACTGCTCTAGCAACATTTGGTCAACATCGGACCAGTAGAGCCTTTTGGAACACATTCCCAGGTCCCACCACTTGGAGAGTCTGATTCGTTAGGTCTGGAATGATACCCAGCCTGTGCGGATACAGTGAAAAGACTATGGGTTTTGGATTCCCCGCTTTTCCATTTCTTTGCTCAGTGAACTTTGGCAAGTCACAACCTCTTTGAGCCTCAATTTCCTTAAATGTAAGATAGGGATAGTAATGTCTACCACAT